TTTTGGTTCAAGTTCCAAAGTAGAACCTAGAATTAAACCTTGTTTCAGGTTTTTGGAACCAAAAGCTATCCTATGAAAGTTGGTTCTAGGGTCGGTTCTGGTAATACCATTATTATATAGTTCAAAACTTATTATCCTTATTGATTAAATTGAGTAATTTAATATGTAATTATCATACTATATTAATACATGTTTCAAAACTTATCATTATGATTTAAATTTTATAAATATTACCTTATACATTACTTATTATACACATTTAAATAGTAAAATAAAAAAAAAAATGATCAAATCACTTAACTGAATCAATGGTTAAGATAGACCATGGCCATTGTAACCATGAGTGCCAAGGTTCAAATTTTCACATCCTCAAAGTATTTTGGGATTTATTTCATGACAAGTTCAATACCATAATAGTTCCACCAGCATCAACTAAGGTCGCTTCCACCAATGCCAACAAAGGTCAGTTTGGGTAGGGTAAATCCCTAGACCTTGGAATTGGTTTGCATAGGACTCAGTTCCAAGAATTTGAAACTAGACCCTACTTAATAACATATTGGGTAGGGTTAGCTCAAGGGCCAATTCAAGAATTTGGAACAAATCTTTGCTTGAGAACATATCTAGAAAAAAATGACAAATTATAGAAAAAATTGAAATAATACAGAAAGAGGGAGAAATTGATCCAATTAATAGAAGATAAAAAAGAGGAGGAAGCCTGCCAAAAATAGCTAAGCAAGATCCTAGAAAAGATGAATTATACTGGGCCTAAAAATCAAGAGCCCTATGGTTAAGTCGTGGAGAAAAGAACACTAAATGTTTTTCATACTACTACAATGATAAGAAGAAGTAAGAATCAAATCCTAGGATCAGAGATTCAGTTAACAACTAGACCATGGAGGTGACCAAAGTAAACAATATTTTGATTGAGAGCTTCAAAGAAAGACTAAAAATTGAAGGAGAGAGATAGACAATGAATACCTAGTGATCGAGATAGAGGAGAGAGAAATTTTGCAAGCTTTAAATTCTATGGGAGAATTAAAAGCCTCTAGCCCAGTTGGCTTAAATGCAAAATTCTTTAATAAATACTGGGAAATTATCAAAAAATCGACAATTAATACAATTAGAGCCTTCTTTCACTATGGAAAAATGACAAAGGATCTAAATAAAATTTTCTTAGTACTCATACCAAAAAACAAAAAACCTAAAGTCTCTAGAACATTATAGACCAATTAGTCTTTGTAATGTGATCCAAAAATTAATTGCCAAAACTCTGGTAAATTGTTTAAAACCTCTATTGGGAAAATTAGTATTCCCAAATCAGTCTCCTTTCATTTTGGGGAGACAAATCATCGATAATGTACGAATTGCTCATGAAATTTTCCATATCATGAAAAAGGGAAAAGGAAAAACAAGGGTAAAAGCCTACAAAATTGATATAGAGAATGTTTATGATAGACTAAAATTGGGATTCCATGAAAAATGAGTAAGATGGGTGATGGAGTGTGTAACCATAGTAAGCTTCCAAGTCTTAGTCAATGGATCCCCAGTTGAGAGCATTAAGCCCACTAGAGGCATCAGACACGGGGATCCTCTATCCCCATATTTATTTCTCTTATGCAATGAAGCTCTACCCCAAAATATAGAGAAACACTCTAAGGGGAACATGCCTAGGGATGGCAATTTCCCCTGTAAAACCAGGGCCCAACCCCACCCCGCCCCAAAGGGGCAGGTTTTCCCCGATCCTAAACAAGGATGGGGCGGGGATGGGGAAAATAATTTTTCCCTGAATCGGGTACGGGGTGAGGACGGGTTTTGTATATAATTCCCCGAACCCGAAGGTAAATTAGTAAAATATCTCTAGGTTTAATATTGATATTTAAAATATCTCTAAGTTTTCCCAAACTTTTTAAAATCCTAGGATCCCATAATTTTATTTTTGAATTACCCCTAAAGTATTATAATTCAATTCAAAAATACCCCCAAATTCCTATATCCTATGTATAAATTGTACATAAAATAGATAATTTTTAATTAATTGCCTTGAAACGGGAAAAATTTAGGGATTCCTTGTCCCTGATGGGGAATGGATGCCCCGCCCCGAACCTGCCCCGCCACCGGGGACGGGGTAGGTACGGGGCAAGCTATCGTGACTTCGAGGCGGGGACGGGGAGGGGGTGCCCCGCCCCAAACCTGCTCCATTGCCATTCCTAAACATGCTTCATATTGGAAAAAAAACGGCAAGAAGAAGCCCAATAATATCAATGCTGCAATTTGTTGATGATTGTATAACATTTGCAAAAGCAAACCTAGAGGCTTGTCATCTAATAAAGGACATTCTTGGGAAGTAGACCTTGACATCAGGTCAAAAGGCCAATTTTAAAAAATCCTTGATGCTATTCTCAATATATGTTCCCCCTAGGTTCCAAAGATTATTGACTCGATTTGTAGGGATACCAAGAAACAATAAAAATGAAAATATCTAGGAGCTCCATTAGTATTGCAAAGAGTCACTAACGACAATTTCAAAGAGCTAGTACATAAAGTAAAGCAAAAACTAGATGGATAGAAGAATATGACTCTATTCCTTGGTGGAAAAATTACATTACTAAAATCTATAGTAGGAAACATGGCTCAATACTAGATGAACTTGTTTAATATTCCAAGAGAAACCACAAAGGAGAAAGGTGTTGGGTGAAGTTGAATCTCTTATGGTCATCACTGAAAAGGCTCGGGAATGGAAGATGGACAATAAGACAGATATTCAAAAAATTGGTAATGATTTTTTCCTCATCTATTTTTCCACCCATGTAGATTATGAGAAGGTTCTATAAAATGGTCCATGGATGGTGAATGGTAAATACCTAGTCCTTTTGAGTCCGCATAGTATCACCCTGTTTGTCACTTTGGCATGACTGTTCATCAGGGGGTGAGCTACTACGATGAAGTCCTATTGGATTCCCATCTTGACACACCAGTTCTAGAACTTGATATTTTCGAACTGCTTACCATTGTCTAATACCAACACACTGGGAAGTTTGAATCGATAGACAATGTTCCTCTAGAAGAAGTTTTGAACATTGTTAGCTGCGATATGCACCAATGGCTCGGCTTCTACTCACATAGTAAAATAATCCATCACGACCACTAAGAACCTTCTCTTCCTGATCGCAAGTGGGAAGGGACCGAGTATGTCTATTCCCCACTATGCAAATGGCCGCAGGATGGTCAAGTACCACAAGTCAGTGGTGGGCTGATGTGGTATGTTTGTGTGCCATTGACACCTATCACACTTCTAAACTAACTCCACTGTGTTTGCCTTCATTGTGGGCCAGCAGTACCCTTGTTGTAGGGCCTTTTGGGTTAGTGCTCTGCCCTCTAAGTGTCCTCTATAGAAACCTTTATGGATCTCGCGTAGCACTTGATTAGTCTGTGTTGGACGTAAGCAACACAAGTAGGGGAGCATGAACAACTTGCGATACAGCTGCTTGCCAATGATTAAATAGCGAGTGGACTGCCGCTCTACCCTCCACACTACATTATGATCTATTGGATGTAAGAGTAGTGGTGTCGATTACTAGGGGTTGTTAGAGGTACATTACTAGAGGTACATTACTAGGGGTTCGCCACATGTCTAATGAGATCTTCCAAGAACAAAGTTTCCTTTTGCCCGAGGATTCTCTTAGCACGTATATGCTACTACCCACCGTAAGCCTCCAAAGCTGACGTGTTATGGGTCGTGTCAAAATTGATTTGACGTGCTTGTTTATTCGTTTTGTCACTTTTCGGACGACTCATCGTWGGTTTGGGACAGTCTTCGAGCTCATCGGAGACCTAGGAAGGCTCCTTGGGCTCATCACTAGTTTGTGGAGATTGTTTGGGCTCATCGCAGGTTTGGGATAGTCTCTGAGCTCATCGAAGACCTTGGAAGGCTCCTTGGGCTCATCACTAGTTTGTGGAGATTGTTTGGGCTCATCGCAGGTTTGGGATAGTCTCTGAGCTCATCGAAGACCTTGGAAGGCTCCTTGGGCTCATCATGGGTCTGTGGCGGTTGCTTGGGCTCATCGCAGGTTTGGGATAGTCTCTGAGCTCATCGAAGACCTCGGAAGGCTCCTTGGGCTCATCATGGGTCTGTGGTGGTTGCTTGGGCTCATCGCAAGTTTGGGATCGTCTCTGAGCTCATTGAAGACCTCGGAAGGCTCCTTGGGCTCATCATGGGTCTGTGGTGGTTGCTTGGGCTCATCACTGGCCCAAAGCACCCACTTTGAGCTCATTGCGAGTTTTGGATGACTATGAGTATCATTATATATGTGCACGTAGTCTTATTTTGACATATGTAGTGTGATTGGGGTGATGAGGGACTATATGTACTTATAAGGGGTTTAGAATTGGAATTTCAACTGTTTGGTTGATTGGAATTAGAATCTCATTCTCATTTCTGGTGTAATGGCATGCTTTCATTTGAGGGAATGGTCATTCCTTCCCCCTCCCTTGGGAATAAAAACCCATTCCAACTGATTCTAATTCCCATTTAAACCAAACAAGCTTTGGACCATTTTAATTCCAATTCTGACTATAAACCAAATGGACTCTAATACAAAAAAAGGAATTTCCAAACCTGAAATTCAGTAATGTGTATCAGTTTTAGGAAACAAGAAATACACTACAAAACCATGGTTTTTATGTTATATATATAAAATCAAATTTTGGACCTCTGCTTTTGGAATTCACAAATCAATTTGCAATTAAGCATTAAAGGTTATATTTTTATTTTAACAGATTGTCATTAATGGGCAAAACCGCAAAAGTGAGACATATTGAAATTGATTTTCTATTACAATCTTTCCGCTCAAATTGACTACTATTCTTTGGAGGTGGATGGAAAGATGATAGACTGAAGAGAAAAAAATATATAATATATAGAAACAATGATCACTAATACATGATGTATTATTAGCACAGAATTTAATGAGCAGAGAAGTAATGAAATTATACTACCTACTTTACCTGCAATTCCGTGGAACAGTCCAAGACATTCCCGATCTCTTCACACTTTCCGGAGAAGACAAAAATTTTTTCCWGTCCTCAAGCACAACTCTAAGATCATGGATCTTGTTATTCATACCAATACAACAATTTGCATGCATTGTACAAACTCTATTCAAATCTCTACTGGGTTCACAAAATCCACCAAAATAAACAGTATCCAGAAACCTAATCGTCAACTCAATCCTTTTGACGAATGGATCATATTTAATAATGTTTAACACATCCTGAGTCTTTTTCCCAGGATATGTGTCTCTGGAGGAGTACCAAAACTTGTAGAATTCTATGGTCCTGTTATTGGATTTGACATACATAAATCCTGCATTTGGACTGTTGTTTAAATCAGTCGAGCTGCCTCTAAAGTGATCACAAGCTATAAGAAAATCTGCATCCAAATAAAAATGTGGGAATGGGTTTCGGAACCACATTATATCACCATCCTGAAAGACAAACCAACCATAAACAATCTAATTATTAAAAGGATGGAAAACTTCAACAAGGCTCATAAAACAAAACTTTATTACTTCATGGGTTGGATTATTAATATCGATATCCGAAAAAGAATAAATGTATTAATCAATCAAGTGGAATTTATCAAAATTCACTGGTGGCCGTACACATGATGAGGTGACATTACCTAGCTACCGTATTGGTAAATTCTTAGCCCTCAAAAATCCTTACTTGTGATTGTGATTGTAAATTTCTCACTTCCCTGTTGTTGGCCCCCTTTATGACCATCCATATTTATTTATCCCTTTCCCCCCAAATTCCTTTTTAGGTTTTGGTCCCTCTTATGAAAAATTTCTGGCTCCGCCTCTGGGTGGGAAAGCATAATAATGCTGGTTTGAGTCTAATCCATTACATGGTTTTCAAAAATTGGGCCATATCAGAAAAACAGGAAATTGGTCAGGTGATCGGTTTCATTTTTTCCTAAAACCGGATTTTTTCCAAAAACCGTTGATTTTGGTCAGCAAACTGCTGACCTGGATGATTAACTGTTCGAATGATTTTGACCATTTTTATTCTTTTTTTTATTTTTTATTTGGTTCGAACAATCGGACCATCAACCCGATAACCAGACCCCTAACCGGTTTGATCTCTGGGTCGGTTTTAAAACCATGATCCAGTACAGTCGATAGAATTTCTTCACTACTGTAATTTATTGACCAAACTATGAATGTTACCAAAGGATGGCAGCAATCATTCTCGATCAGCACCATCACAAGAAACCATGCTAAGGCACTTTTTGATAACGGCTGAAGTTGCTGAACTGAAAGCTAGACATATTGCTTTGTCTTTTAGTTGATAAGATAATTAAACAAATTAAAGTTTTTAAGAGTATAATAATCTACCCTATTTCAGTTTCAGCCATTAAGAAGCCCACAACTCCTTAAAAACTTATTCACTAAAAGACAAAACAATAAGCACATCTTTAGCTGTTATTAAACGGCCCCTCAGAATTCCAACACAAAAAAAAGTCATCCTTCATAGGAATTAAAAAAAAAAAAAAAAAGCAATTTTAAGAAACACTTGAGCTTCCATTAGCTTTTACTTAAAAGCTTTCATTAATTTTCCAAATAAAAAAAAAAAAAACTATTATATTTCCTATAGAAAAAGTTAGAATGCTACTTTAGTTTAAGAGCAAAAATTAGAAAATCAATGCAATTAGCAAATCTTAAAGCCTCAATATCCTTCCCATTTCAAGTCTTATATTGCGATAAAAGATAACCTTGTTAGATAAACCTAGAAATTCAATCTATAATGATGCAACCTGCTTAATTCAACAGTATAGTATTATTGATTCTCTTACCAATATCTTTGCCCTTTTCTGTTAAAAAGAAAAAAAATATATATATGTTTCTCTTTCAAGTAAATACTCTATTAATTAATTCTATTTTATTTATTTGTATATAATAATTCATTAACTTCATAAGATTGTCAATTCACAATTTTGCTCTCAAAATAAATAGCACATAAATACATTGAATTCTATTACCACAAGGTTTTCTCATCAGAGAGAGAGATTATGATACCTATGGACTTGATCAATCAAAATCCACTCGTGAATTTTGATTAATTATACTTTATTTGCCACCACGTTTTAGATTACAATTTATTGGTTAATTGTTTTTTTGGATATCATATCTTTTTTATATGATAGTCGAACCCTTTATAAAACAAACAAGTTTGGAATTCAGATGAATTAGTGGTTTGTAAGAGATTGTACTTGGAGTGAGGGAGAGGAATTCAGATTTGAACCTCACAGAACCGTGCATTCAAAATATCTTCTCATGAATGAAAAAATACAAATACAGAACTGTAAGGCACTGTGAGGAGTGAGGTGTGAGGACGGTTGTGTGAGCACCAAATCCGATTTGATGAGGGAGGGAGGGAGTGTACATACCGTGAAAAGGAAGTGGTATCCCATCTCAAGAACTGATCTTAGAAAATCAATTTTGGTCCACACCATTTTCAAGTAATCACTTGTCATGAAATATGCTTCTCCAGAAAAATCAACTCCTTGAGTGACAAGAGCAAAACAATGGGTGTGCACAGCCAAACAACGAACGTACGCCTTTTGGTCTAAGGCAACAATTACCAAATGGTTCAATAGCCAACTCGTATTATCTCCAACTCGGAAGCTCTCCATGAAGAGATCAATTATTGAGCCAGGTGTTGCCCAAGCTTCATTTAAGGGAGCTAAGATTACAGTTTTATCTTCCATAGCTGCCTCCTTCAAAATACTTTCCAGACTCAATTCCTTAGTTTCCTACATACAAAGGTATATATATATATATATATAACTAACTTTATCAGTCTAAGTACTAAAATTAATTATAGTTCTCAATCAAAGAAATCAATATTTGCACAACGTTCTTTGATGTCATGCATGGGATCTAAGATTTACAGCAGAAAACTTGTTTCCTATGTATGGCTGCAACGTTTCCTGCGACTATCATGGGGGAGAATGACGATTCAGCCCAAGGTTAGAATTTGTAAGCTCAAAGTATATTTGGGGTAGGTGCCATCTCGGAATTGATGTCAATTTACAGGCAGGTATGAGTGCATAAAGTATAGGTTTTTGACCTTTTGAATGTTAATAGTTCTATAGTGGAAATCTGAAATCTGCATTCGGCCTGTTCATACTTTTTCGTGTAAATCGGATATTTTTTATTTTAATATATTAATATATTATATAAATAATATAATGTATTATTTATATTATATAATATAAATATAATTCTAATCAAATCGGATTCGAATCAGATATCCGATGATACATTCCAATTCAAATCATGCCTTTGAAAATTTGACGAATCTTTATCGGATTTAGATCAGTCAGATTTTCTTAACAGGACGGATCAGATATGCCCTTACCAAATCCAATCCGATCTATTTGCAGCCCTACATGTAACAAGGCAAGTTCAAGAGATTGGGACCTTGGTGTGTTTGCCAGGAAAAGCTTTGGCTGTTGGGGAGCCTATGTTGAGAACATTCTTGGGAATGCCATGTTACCATGAGAGTGGGGTAAATTAGTAATTGTCCCCTATTTCGCTTTGACCATAAACATAGACATGGGCATGAATTTGTAAACGTGTCCAGCTTTTTTTAAGTACTTATACAATTTTTTCTTTCAAAAGTATCCCTAGTTGAATTTTACAAAAGTGTTTTCATAAAAGTGCTTTCGTAAAAGTACTTTCATAAAAATGCTTTTTATTAAAGTGTTTTCATAAAAGTACTTTTATAAAATTACTTTTCTAAAGTGCTTTCTTAAAATTTGAAAGAAAATGAAGGACAAAATAGTCACAAATGCTTATTTCAGTGCTTATTGGAGAAACAGACTACCAAATGCCCAACATGAAATAAGTGTTTGTTTTTTATTTTAAAATAAGCACTTGAAAATTTTGGGTATCAAATGCAAATAAGTGTTTATTTGAATAAGCACTTGTTTTTAAACACTTATTTTTAACATAAACACTTCCAAACATGGCCTTATTTCCTACTTCCTGAATAAAAGCTTACTCAAGCTTATTTTCCAAATGCATATAGTGCTTATTGGTGGTCCCACCCTAAAATAATAGATAGTAGCAAATAGATGTGATCCAACTTTTTCAAGAAATGGAAAGAGTACAAATACAAATATGTAGTGTGTAAAATCTTGTACTTTGTATTTGTATACATTTGTAACAATTCCAAATTGAGCCAAAAGAACAAATATCCGCTTCACATGGACTTCCATGGTAGCTCAAACATTCCACTTTGCCATAATATCATCAGACATACCACCCCAGCTAAACTTGACTAAATAGGATGGTCCAGCCATGCAGGCAAGCTCACTAGTTAGAGCTGGTCCCTATCTGCTCTATACTTGATACTTCTATTTAGGGGTGAGCAAATGGGTAGGTTCTACCCAAAACTGAATGGAACTGACCTCAAACCGGTCTTGAACTGACCCTATCCAATCTGTAATATGGTAGGGTTTGGTTCAAAATTCTTGGAAACAACCCCCATCAGGCCGGTTCCAGGGCCTAGGGGTTTACCCTACACGAATTGGCCTCGGTTGGCCCTAGGGCAACCGACCTTGTTGGAACCTGCCCTAGAACCGAACTAACTTTGAAATAAACCCTAGAATGCTTGGGATGTGAAGATTTAAACCCAAGCATTCATGCTTACAAAGGTCATGGTCTCACTTGAACATTGAGTTACATAAGTGATTTGATCATTTGTTTTCATTTTAGTGTAAAAGGTAATATTTACAAAATTTAAATTTAATTTATAAGTTTTTAATCATATAATAATAATCCACATATAAAGTTAATCGATTTAATCAATAAAGATAATACAAGTTTTAAATTATATATTATATTTACTGAAAATCTTTTTTTTTTTTTTTTTGTGAAAGAGGAGAGTAAAGAAAGTATAGGTTCCATGGATAGAACATGGAACCAACCCTGGAACCGCCAAGGCTAGAACCTACCCTGAAACCGACCTTCACAGGGTAGGTTCCGGTTCAAAAAACCTGAAACTAACCCCTACAGAGTAAGTTCCAGGTTCTGCCATGGAATTGAACTGAACCGGCCCATGCTCACCCCTACTTCTATTCCTCAGGGTACAAAGCTGCAAAATGCAACCTCATAAACAAGGAAATACTAGAAGAGACCTGTGTGATGCACATGCCGATATTAAAAGATGGCCATGTTAAAGGGGAGTGATTACATTAAGTTTCCTTGTTGTAACTAGCCCCTAGTTTATTTTTTATTTTTTAAAAGCAAAAAAGAAAACGAGAAAACTCTAAAGGGGATGGAAAGCAATATAGTAAGGAAATGTGAACAACTGCATTTAGAAAATGGTGACACATCAATGCTACGTCAAAGAAAATGGTGCTCCAGGAAACACCCATTTGTTTGGAACCATTTTTCCATAAAAAATGGTGCTCCAAGCCACACTTTGGAAATTGGGAAGGTGTGGCTTGGAGCAACGCCGAATTTGGCATTTCTTGGAGCTGCTCATTGCTGACAACAGGGACATGAGATGGGAGTGACAGGGACATGATGTGGCACTGGATAACATGTACCTGCAGTGCTGAAAATGTTTCCTAGAGCATTGATACCAAACTATAATGTTGTTGCTGCTCTAGGAAATGTCCTACCTAACAACAACGTTTCCAAACGAAAAAGATACTGTTTTCTCAAAAAATGGTGCTTCTGACCCACACATCAATAGCATCGTGTTCTAAAAAAACGATGCTATATCTGCAGCATTGATGCCAAACATATACTTAATTAACAGATATTACAAACAATGTTTTAAAAACTAAGAAGTTGAACTGTTTTCCCTCTCGATCATGGGTCAATAGTTCAACCATCAGGGTCAGATGGACCAAACCATGACACAACATCAAATATATTACATATAACAAATAATGGATGTATAATTACATTCTAAATATAATTTGAGGCGAAAAAAAAAACATTTTTTGGCAAAAATAATGAGGCAAGATACCTTGGCCTCCTTTCGAGGCATGGATTGAAAAAAACTACCCAAAATCGAAAGAAAGATCAATCCAATCCCACAACCAAGCACAAAATCATCCTCTTCAAAAAATTTTAAAACATTATAATTTGTAACTTATGTCCCGGTGACCAAGTCAAATAGATTAACGGTTCAACTGGTTATGTCTATGGGTTTCTGACCAAGCCAACAATTTTTTAACGGTTGAACTGCCTAGGTGGGTCTCTCACCAAGCTAACAATTTTTTATGATGTAGTGGGATTTAGAAAAGCCAGAGTTGAAAACCAAGTGACGATTCAAATGGTTTGACTATCCAAACCAACCATACTTGTTAGGGATGCAACTTGGGTGGGCCCAAAATGAGCCTGTACCGACTTAGCCCGAAATTTTATATGGGCTGATCTTAGATTTTTGGTTCTTAGGTCTAAGATTGGATTTTTTATTTTTTGGACTGAGCCCGGGCCTAGCCTTTATGTAACCCAAGCCCAACCCAATCTTATCCCAATTTCAGCCAAGCCTGACTATACAAATTCATACATAGGGATGGCAATGGGGCAGGTTTGGGGAGGGCTTTGTAAATTCTAGATCCTAACTGCCTCCCTAAACCTCTTAACCCGTATTTGCCCCAAAACTTGTAGCGGGTTGGATTTTAAGAATCCAAACCCTACCCATGCATGAAAATTCAAAACCATCCCCGCATTCAAGGGTAGGGGTGGGTTGGGTTTAGAACCCGTATTTAACTTCCTTTTATTTCTTATCATACATAAGTAATAAATAAGAAAAATAACACAAATAAACAACAAAAATTCTAATTATTTGATTAAGGCATGTAAGAAACACATAAACTATCAATTATCTTTTATGTAAAATTTAAAATATTATTAAATTCAAGACCTAGTACATAAAGTTTATATGCTTTCCAATAATACATGGGTCGGGGAGCATCGGGTTTAGCCTAATATTGTACCCTACCTGTACCCGTACAAGTTGTAGAATCCCAAAACCCATATCCATATAGGTTGTAGAATCCCAAAACCCGTACCCGCCCCAAAACCCATTCTTCGAGAAAAGAAAAAACGGAGAAGTACGGACAGGTCCAATGCATATTTCTGATTTCCACTGCAAAACTATAAATAGGTCAAAAACTCACACTCTATGCACCCATACCCACACATGAATTGGCATCAATTCCGAGCTGGCATCTACCTAAAATGTACTTTGAGCCTACAAATTCGCTGAACCGTCATTCTCCCAAAAAAAAACCACTTCGTCAGGGAGGGTAGGGGCGGTACACATAGGGTAAAAATTGCCATCCCTATTTATATATGCATATCTATTTACCTAAATGCATACATACATGTATAATTTTAGAATGGATTATTGACTAACCCAAGCTCAATCCAAACCCAAACCCAATCTAATGCATCAATTCAAATTACAGTGTGGTTTGGGTTTGGGTTGAGAAGATCGGACTTGACCTTAAAATTAAGTCTAGGCTCGGGCCTTGAACCGAAATGTTAGGGCTGGGCCTGGTACAGTCACCCCTAATACTATTCACCAACTCCAAGTCTCTTAAAAGGAAAAGAAGACGCACGTTAGTCGGGATATGGATGATGAGAGAAAGAGACTCACCGGAGATGATGCCTCAACAGTACCGGAGAAAACTTGGTTGACAGTGGAAGAAGAGCAACCGAAAGGCCGAAATAAAACTGCATAGGAATAGGTCTGAGCATTGTAGATAAAAAGACAAGGTAATGCAACTACAGTAAAGACAACTAAGAGGGTAAGAATCCGGCGGACAGGACAGCCGGAATCCGGTAACATTTTGGAGGCGTTTCCACGGGCAGAACCTGTCATTTTCATCAGCATGGTCGGTCGTCTTTCTCTATCGCCTTTTATACTATGAATTCTTTCTTCTTCTTCGGTTTCAATTTTCTTCAGATCATTAAAGTTTGAATTAATGGCGGCAATCAGACGGCAATTTTAAAATATGAGGATACCATCGAATCATGCTTATAACAGAATTTTCAACTCATTGGATATATCTTCTGATTGCTGAACTTTGCACTCTGCTGTGAGAGAGTCAACATGGTGAACAAGATTAATTTATATAGAAAAAAAATTAAAAAAGCTAGTGTTCCATATGCATGTGGCCACAATTCAATTCACTTGTGAATTGTGATTGATTATGTAACAAGTGATACACAACAGTGCAACGAACGTATCCAAGATCTTAATGATATCCATAATACATAATTAAGATTTAAGAATAATAGTTAATTAGAGTGTTATTGAGGTAGAGCATTTTAAATTTTAAACTCTTTGTTTCCTACTTAGAATATCAAAACCAACCTGGGGCTAAGAAAACTTGTGTCAGTTAAGACATGTTTGGTTCTTCATTCTAGACTAGATAAGAATGGACAAGAATGAATAATATTAGAGTATTTGATTACAAAATTCTTGTCATGGGTTTCATTCTTTTAGATTGAAAAGTCAATCCATAACACAAAAATTGAAACATATATCCTGCAGTATGAAAATAATTCTGCAACGTAAACTGCTCTAATTAGCTAATTAAGAGTGTGAAACAATTTAATCAGCTTAGAGCCAAGGCCATTGGTTTACAATTGGGGACGATGAAATCGTATTCATAAGAAAGCAGACTGTTATCTTGTGAGGTTGGATATCAACTATCAAGCACACGAGGGGAATGCAATTTTTCAGCAATAGTTGATATCAACTAGTTGGGCAAATTTGCGCAAGGATCGGGAGATGAAGGAGTATTTGAGCTGATGTATGAATTGTCGTTRCAGTAAAGCAGTACAATAATCCACTATTTTGACTAAAGTTTGGCGAAAAATTAAGTTGGGTGTACAACTTGTATATCCCGCTAATAATCGGATCACCCTTTGGCCTTTGCGTCCAGATAATACTTACTTACCGGAACAATATACAGAGTCATCGACAAAATATATTTGATTAATTACTTTGAGATGAGTAGATGTTAGATAAAGAGAAACATTAGCTGTCCAGGTGGGTGATGTGAGCCCAAGCCCAGGGGCTTCAAGGTTCAAACCCTGTTTGATTCCAACTTCAAACCCTCACTTGGCATGATTCGCTGTCTGGGTTATCACAGAATTTTAGAAAGGTGGACAGAAATGAATTGAGTAAAGACGAGCCCGATTGTCTACTACTGTGTAGGCGTGTAACTTGGGTGGGCCCAACCTGAGCCCATACCAATTTGGTCCAAAATTTTATACGAGTTGGGTTTGAATTTTTTAGTCCAGATCGGGGCTTAATCCTTAGGTAGTTTGAACTTGAACCTGACTTGACTATACACATTATATATATATGCATATTTGTATAGATATATACATACAAGTGTAATTTTAGAGTAGATTCATTGACCAACCCGAGATCAATCCGAATGCATCAAATTAGAATGTAGGCTGGGCTAGGGTTATAAAGATTGGGATTAACCTCAAATTCGACCTGGACCCATGCCTTAGACCCAAATCTTAGAATTGAACCTGAGTTGACCATAAAAAAGATCCAGCCCATCCAACTTGCACTCCTGTAACTGCCTGAGAACAGGCGCAACAATCCCTCCATGAGCCTAACCAAAAAGGCCCAAGTGCATGGCAAAATAACAAAATTTCAGTGGGGCCATGGGTCTACTCAGGTCATTCATGCAGTATAAGTCGGTCCGGTTCGATTTTGAGTAATCACCACGTGTTGCATGTCATGTATAAGTTCATGTGCTATTAAAACCCATCTAGTCCTAACAGCTTAGTGTTTCTTTCACTAAGCTATATCTAAATCTATAGTGTTTAGTGAACATGTATAAGTTCACTTATCTTATATATATATATATATATATAAAAGTGTGAATAAAATGTGAATTTTTTTTTGGATTAAAATTACCTTCTATTTCTTTGTTTGAGAAAAGATATAAAAGTCATTTTATTCTAGTTTTAGTGTCAGTTTTAATGGCTACTATAATGGTCATATTTGTGTATTTAATCCATATCTAATTGTAAGGGTTGAAAACATAATTTTAATTACTTTACACCTCATTCAATCCTATATTTTTAAGTTATTTTCACTAATAAATGCTACTAATTAGATCTGTGTTAATATTTTTTTAACAATATAAACCCATATATTTAAAACTGACTCAAAAACAAAGCCATTATTTATCCAATTCGTGGCTAAGCAATTCAACCATCCGAATCAATTTGATAAACCTATAAAGTCATAGTTAGGTAATAACATTTTTAAAATAAAAATAAATATAGAAATTTATAAGAAAATGTAGAAAAATTAGACACATTTATGATTTTTTCTTAATAAAATTAAAAAAATAAGTGTAATAAACAAGAATTATTTTTATTGATAATGAAAATGAAATACATAATTTAGAATTGAGCAAAAATGAAATATAAAAATTAATAATAAATAGTTCAACTTTTGGGTTAAATGCATTAACCTTTAATGTCATAAATAAATAATAAAAATTTATAAACTATAAAAAAAATAAAATGAAAAAATACATAAATTTTGCAAAAAAAAGCATTCAAGAACATGTATAATATCATGTAATTATCATATTAAATAAAAAGTAAATATGACATATTAGAATTATTTTTACACACAAAAATACAAAAAAAAAACATAAAAAATTGAACACATCTATAATTTTATATTTAAACTATTTTTAAAAATATTAATAAAATTGTGAAACTTTCTTTTGACTAAAATCAAGGTTTTAAAAACCAACCTAAAAACGGAACCGCTTTGGCTTTCGGTTTCCAGGCCAACGGTTCAACCGTCCAGTTTGAGCAGGTCAAACCCAATAAGATGTAAAATATAATGTAAGTTTTTAGTTTGACCGTTAGATTAGGATTAAGTTATATTATTATAAGAGGGGAGTGTGAGACTTTGAGAAAGAGTCAGCTGGTTAAAGCTAAGAAGTGAGAAAAAAGAAAGAGAAGAAAAAGAAGCGTTGCCGATGGTGGTTATCACCATGTTCACCGGTTGTTGTTACAAAATCATTTTGCCCCGAGGAGGAGGAGGAGGAGGAGAATAAGAAGAAGAAGAAGAAGAAGGAACCGCCAGCAGCGGCTATGTCCACGTTCATCATCACTGCCACTACAACACCGTATGCCCTCTTCTTATATCTCTCTCAAAGCCCAGACCGCTTGCTTCATTGGTGTACCTAAGCTTTTAATATAAGATTGATGTTTAATCTCTCGTCTCTTGCATCGATTTTTCAATTTCTTCCTTGGAGTTGCAATTTTTTTTTTTTTTGTTACAACTTAAAAAAATCATAGAAATAAGAAAACTCAAAATCAAAATGGAAAAACTAAAATCACTAACTAATTTTGGCCATTGGGAATAATCAAACAAAATTGACATATGAAAGTTTCTTTTTTCAATTTTTTATTTTCAAATTTCTATTTTAAAATAAATAAAAATTTTGGAATTAGTTTCAAAGTAACTTGAGAACCATTAGTCGGGTCAAACATTTTAACGGTTAAATCATCAAAGTCAATGGTTCTCTGACCATTTCAACATTTTTTTTTCTTTTTTCTTTTGTAAAATAGCGGTTCAGGGCCAAAATGGAACCAGTGACCTAACCGATTCTGGGCCAAACAATTCAACCGTTCGATCTAGTCCATTTTTAAAACATTGACTAAAATACTCATTTTTTAACTTGTAAAAGATACATCAAAAAGATAAAACACTATAAAAAGAAGAGTCTAACCAACCAAAGCGGCCTGCCAATGATCGATACTTGAAACTTCACAATTCAATCTGATTATAACATATTTGGATGAGGTGTTTATGCAATCAGATTTGAATTTTCCAATCTACATCTAATTAATAATAAAAAACAAAAAATATAAAAATAAATAAAGTTTATAGAAAATTTTGGATATATTATTACTATAATTATCATCATCTAGAATTGCCACGTGAAAAGCACATGCACACTTACTAGTGTAAACAAATATTGTGATGAGAAGTGTATAAATATCTTTGTGGCAATATAAATACAGCTAAAACTTGAACGATTCATCAAGTGAGACTTCCATTCAGCTATGTTTCAGTTCATGTTCCAAAGTAGAACCTAGAATCAAACCTTGTTTCGGGTTTTTGGAACCAAAAGCTATCCTATGAAAGTTGGTTATAGGGTCGGTTTTGGTACTACCATTATTATTATATAGTTCAAAACTTACTATCCTTATTGATTAAATTGAGTAATTTAATATATAATTATCATACTATATTAATACATGTTTCAAAACTTATCATTATGATTTAAATTTTATAAATATTACCTTATACATTACTTATTATACACATTTAAATAGTAAAAAAAAAAAGATCAAATCACTTAACTGACTCAATGGTTAAGAGAGACTATGGCCATTGTAACCATGAGTGCCAAGGTTCAAATTTTCACATCGTAAAGTATTTTGGGATTTATTTCAAGACAAGTTCAATACGATAATAGTTCCACCAACATCAACCAAGGTCGCTTCCACCAATGCCAACCAAGGTCAGTTTGGGAAGGGTAAATCCCTAGACCCAGGAGTTGGTTTGCATAGGACTCAGTTCCAAGGAATTGAAACTAGACCCAACTTAATAACATATTGGGTAGGGTTGGTTCAAGGGCCAATTCAAGAATTTGAAACAAATCTTTGCTTGAGAACATTTCTAGAAAAAAAATGACAAATTATAGAAAAAAATTGAAATAATACAGAAAGAGGGAGAAATTGATCCAATTAATAGAAGATAAAAAGAAGAGGAAGCCTGCCAAAAATAGCTAAGCAAGATCCTAGAAAAGATGA